TTTTTGCAATAAAATTGCACCAAATCCGCTAGCACTGGCGTCGCAATGCAGTTCTGTTACTAATTTCGGCGAATAAATGGCAAGAATCGGCTGCGACGACAACAAATTTTTTAACAATTCAAATACACGATTTTCTTCCGGTCCAAATTTAAAAGCTACATTCTTTTTTATTAGATCATAGAGCGGTTTCGCAATGATCGAAAAATTTTTTACAAATCTCCGGAAATAACTCGCGAGACCCACAAAACGGTGAACTTCCTTTGCGTTACGCGGTGCCGGAAAATCGACAACAGACTCCACATTCATAGCGCTGGGTCGAATGCCGCTCTTGTCAATCGAATAACCAAGATAGACAATCTCGCGATATAAAAACGAACACTTGTCTAAGCGAAATTGCAACCCATGTTGTCGAGCCAAATCAAAAACTTCACGAAGAATTTCCAAATGTTCGTCAACGTTCTCAGTTGCAATTAATATATCGTCAAGATATACCAATATTTTATTCTCTTGAATCAAATCACGAAAAATATTGTTAATATATCGCTGAAAGACACGCGGAGCATTCGTCAACCCGAAAGGCATTTTTAAATATTCAAATTGACCCAAGGGGGTCACAAAAGACGTATATTTTATCGACTCGTCGGCAACCTTAACATGGTGGAATCCGTTTCTCAAATCGAGGCTAGAAAAGTAGGATTTTCCGCGCAATCTATCTAAGTGATCATCGATCAAAGGTGTCGGAAAATTATCTTTCACTGTTATCTTATTAAGTTCGCGATAGTCGACACATAATCGCGATTCACCGTCTTTCTTACGAACGAGTACAATCGGAAAAGCGTATGGAGAATTGCTTGATCTTATTATTTTTTCTTGTAACAATTTATCCAGTATTTGTTTTAATTTTTCTTTATCGGCAAACGAGAGTCTTCGCGGTCTCAAACTAATAGGCCGACCATGCGTCAAATTTATATTCATTTCAATTTCTTTTTGGGGGCCCGTAATTCCTGTGTTGATAATATTTTCATTATTATACAATTTCTCGACGCGTTCTTTTATTTTAAAATCAATCTGCGGGTTAATATTTATCGCTTCGGCAATAGACAATGGACGGTCAACATATGACATGTGGAGAATCTGCTTCGCAAAATCCGAGCCATCCACCGTTTGTGAATTTGCCCTCAAAACACTAAATTTTTCCCCTAATGTTATTTCAATTAACGGCGACGATGTGAAGTCTCGACCAAGCAAAGCAGCACACGTTATGGCCGTATTCGGAACAACAAAAAACTTTATTTTTAATTCAATATCGCTGATCTCGACAACATCCTCGAAGGTCCCCAACATTTCCAACTTAGTTCCATTAATACCGAAAAAAGATTGTTGTTTATCAATCGGCATGCGAATATGAGCCGGTACAAAATCACTTTTAATTAAACTAATAGGAGACCCCGAATCAATCATCGCCATCAACGAATATTTACATCTGCTACCGGACGCATCCGCGACCTGATACGCGAGGGTTACCAGGTATGGGGTGCTCGGTGAGACCGGCTGGACCACGCTCGTCGTGTTCTCCACTCCCGGCTGCGACTTCGGACACTCCTTCACGCGATGTTCCAGACTGCCGCATCCAAAGCACGAGCCCCTCGCCCGCTTCCGTTCCTCCTTGCAGTCTCTGGAGAAATGTCCAGTCGCTCCACAATTATAGCAGCGGATGGTACCGCCCCCCGTCGTAGATATTCCTCCTCCACCGGATTTCGGCATTGGTCGCTGCCCCTTCGCAGCTCGCTCCCCCCCGCCTCCGGCTCCCCCATCTAACGACAGCTTCCTGAACGCATCTAATACGTCTACTGCCGACGTAAAGCGCAGCATCCGCGCCTGATTCCGCATACGTGTATCCTGCACCCCGTCGATCAAGCAGTCAACAAGCTCCTCCTCGTCGACGGATACTCTGTTCGCGAGAACCACTTTCTCGTGATAATACTCCGTAAATGTTTCGTCGCTTCGCCATTTTCGCTTCTCAAAATCACGCCTCAATGTCAGCCTACTGGGGCGACTATCAAACATGCGAGACATCTCCGATAGCAAGTCTGCAGCACTTAATTGCAAATGCTCTGATTTCGAATGAAACCAGCTCAAAGCTTTGTTCTTCAATCTCAAATTGATCAATATTCTGGTCGAATTCTCGTCTAATCGATATGTTACACGCAAAAGTTCAACTTGTTTCTTCCATGTCTCAAAACTGTCGCAGTCGCCGCGAAACTCACTTAATAAATCACTAATGATCCGGATGTTGACTCTTGAATCGATACTGCGGTCGCTAGCGTTGTCTTCAATACTCGGCGTCATGCTCGCCTCCCGACGGACGAGACTCAATTCTCGCTCCAAGAGAGCTTTCTCGCGCTTCAATATATCTATTTCTCTCTCCATCAATTCCGGTGGCAACGCAGGGCCGCGCGGGGTCGCCATGACCCCCCCGGAACGCAACGATGCTCCACCACCAGAACTCGATTGCTGCTCCGACACATCCGCATTCGCGCCCGACCAACCCTGCACATCACCGCCCACAAGATGCTCATATGCACTTCGCCACCCGTCTTCACCGACAGCCAATATTCGCGCCACCAATTCGACCTTCGCACCGCTCGCAGACACTCCGACCTGCCGCGCGATATCCTTCAAATTTACAACGGTTAAATCGTTCAATTTATCTTGAGGTGACCGCTCCATCCCCGCAACGACAATATTTCACTGCTAAAACTCTCAGGTCACGTAGCAAAGTCACCGCTCACCCAGTATAACAACAACGGGAAGCACACAATATTACCCGTCAAAAAGGTCACAAGCCGATAAAATTCTCGAATGTACTGTTTCAATGTCACAACAGCACCAAGCAAAACAACGTTCAAATTCGGCCGTTAACGATTCGCGATAATTACAGTAAGTAACAACTATCGAATCGCGGGATCACAAAGTTGACACGATATATATAAAAAA